CCCATAGTACACTGAATTATATTATTATAGCGTTCAATATATTCATCATTAAAATACGATAATGTAGGGCAAGAGTAATAAAATAATAAAAAATACACAATTATAGTTAAATATATTATTTTTCAAGTGATAATAATAATAATAATGACTTTTAGGGTGTACAAGCATGCATTAGATATTTTGTCGCCTAAAAACGAAAGAAAAAAGAATGTTGTCCATAGTTGATTATTGTTTAAAAAATTAAATTCAGAAATTTTAATTTGCACATAGGTACATACTTAATATGGATTACATCATTTATATTCTTTAAATCAATTCACAATAATTATTTTTAACAGAGTGCGTATAGTCTCATACATAGGTATATGTAAATATATGCGCGTTCGTACATATAACATAACTTAAGTGCATTGTAACACGTACGATAACCCAAATGTATGCAATTTTATTCATAGTTACGACTATGTTTACGTTTCTTCAATAATATAAAACGTAAATTAATACTTATGTATCAAATGTGCTTATATATAAGATATGTATATACTTTTATGTAAATATGTATAATAAATGACATATTTACCTACATATTGAGCTATATGTACATAATATGTTTAATTGTTAAGATGGGGTTCCATGAAATTGAACTTATGTATAGAAAATTATCCTGATTGACAATAAAAATTTATCAGGAAAAATTATAATTTGTTATATGTATATAGTATATGTATATAGTATACATATACATATTTATGTATTTCCATTAGCTTGAAACTATTTGCATGTCCATATTATTCTATGTTACAAAGGGGTGTACATTTATATTGTGTATGGAAAAATACGAAAAGAAATTTGTAGGAGAATAATTAAATACCAAAAAGGAAATTTAAAAATACAATAATAAAATAATATTAAAAATTAAATTATGCAGAAAAGTGTAGAAAACTGATTATTTTGTTTGTATATATATGTGTATAAAATTGTTTTAAATCTACCAATACTTGTCTTTTTTAATTATATATTTTACTATTAAACATACGTCATGTTACACGTGCAGGGTACAGATTTTCTGTTAATAATATGGGTAGTCTACGCGACAATTTTATTTTTGTACCGTTACGTGGTATTAAAAAATTTAAAATATAGATTCATTAAATAAAAATAGAAAAACTACGCACGTTCGATTTATAAAGAAAACTTAATATATACACATATGGTATATAAGGAATGTGTATATGCCCCTAATACCCACAGTTAGTGGTAGCAAAAAAATAATAATTTTTAAAAATAAAAAATTTTGATTTTTTTGCTAGATTGATGGACATAAAAAATATAATTTAATAAAATATAATTGTATATTTTACTAAAATGTAAATAATTCATTAAATGTATAATTTCCACATTTCAAAATTTAATACATAAAACTACAATTTCATCAAATTCTTTTACCGTTAAAAATCCTTGTTTTTGCTTATATTAGTCAAAAAATTAAATTGTACCATTGTTTTTTTCAAACATTACTTGACATTTTTCGTATTATATTGGATTTAATCCTTGATTTATATAAATTTTTCTCTTATATCAAATAAAATATCTACATATATGCAAATATATTAACATAATATGCATACGAGTACATAACATACATAATATTACAGATTTTGTACTTTGGCACGATGTACAAACATTCTGTAGTGAGAACAAAATATGAGTAAAAATTTAAGCTTTGAAAAAATGCAAAGCTTTTGCAGAATAAGATCATTATGTGTTTTAAAAATTTCTGTAATGGCGAATTATAAGAACATAATAGGTCTATCTAGTACAAGAAAGTTTTTGCATGAAAAGCGTCTGGGATAATATTTTTTGAACAAAAATTGTAAAGTAAAATTCAGTGTCTTAAAAATCCTACAGCTGTCGAAACATATGTTTTTCTTGGTTAGGTCAGAAGGTTTTTTCAATTAAAAATAAAATAAAATAACCAAAGTGGGTTCACAAATGGTATTTTTTAAGTTTCAAGCTTTTATAATCTAAAATTAAAATTTTCAGTTTTTGTATAACCAAAAAATATTTATGTATGTTTAATAAATACTTTTTAAATTTGACGTTTATCACATATCCATACATATACATATAAAGTTTTTAAAAGTTTTTTTAAGTTTTCCGTTTGGTTTATTTTTTTTTTAAATGAGAATTTTTTTTCTTTTTGCCAGAAATTTCGTCATTGTTAAAGTTCTTAAAGTTTTTTCAAGTTTTATCCCAGGCAGACCTAATATTATTAAAACTTATGTTTAATTTTTCTTATTTTGTTACGACCTTATTTTACTTTCAATTATGTAGGTATAAGTATAGAAAAAAAAATTAATTATAGGAATTTAAAATATGAAAATTTTTATATAGAACAAAGTTTTTTGCATGTTTATAGTGCTATTTAATAATTTTAATCCTCATAATTTTCTTTTAATATTAAAATTCACATTTACTTAATTCTGATCCTAATTCTTTATACAAATGTTATTTTGAATATTATAACAGATATAAGTACATATGTATTATGTTAAAAAATATTTACTTCATTTAGGTTTTAAACCATTTTATGTTAAAGCAACAGCTACACAGAAATTTTATTATTTTAAAAAGGCTATTTAAGACTTAAACCAATTATAGTCTTTGGCATAAATAATGAAAAAAAAAACAAATGATATTTTATACCTATGCTACCCATCAAACTACAAGATTTAATACATTACGTATGCATGAGTAAGAGAGAGACTCTTTTCTAATTTCAGGCAGGTAAATTTTTCTTTTCATGGCTAATGTTCAAATCCGGTAACATCTGTCGGCAGAAAATAACAACTACTAAAATATTTGAGTCAATGAGCCTTATTCTAGTTGTCGAAGTAGAGCGACAATTGTCGTCACGACTTGAATTTGATATTCTAAATGGCGATTAAAGTGACACGTGTCGTGGAATAGCGGGAAAATGTGTTTCAGGTATATTCCAGTTGTCGTTGTAGAGCGACACATGTCGTAGTGAAACGACGTTTTTTGTCGAAAAGTATTTAACAAGTGACAAGCGAGATGGATACACCAAAAATGTAAGTTTAAACAATTTAATAAAAATATAAAAAATTATAAATTTTGTAATTTAATACATAAATTAAACCATATAATGTATGGTTTGAAAGTCTGTAATAGCTTATAAATCTGTGAATAAAATAAAATGTTTGTAACTAATGTATTTGAAAAAATTATTATCTTACACTCCATTTAGCAAATCCAATGGATTAGAGCTGTCCCTAATCTTAAATCTTTTGATCCTTAATTGTTGCTTTTTTTTCAATTTCATCACTCTCGGAGTCTGATGAATCCATAAACCATAATGCAAATGACGACATTTTTTATTTCCGTATTTAAAAAAATAAATATATACACCGAATTTTTTTTTTTAGTTTGAACTTTACTCGCCAAAATTTCTTTTTAAAATGTATCAATTTCACTTGAAACGTTTCATTTTCGTTTATTTCTCGCAGTCACGTCACTCGACAACTAGAATACCATATTTCAAATGATGTGACAACGACAACGACAAATGTCACGTAAGTGACGCGACAACTAGAATAAGGCTCAATATCTTTACATTCCAAAGATAAAAGACTGACTGCAAATTATTTAAGCATTTTAACAAAAATGAAAATAATAATATACGGAAGGTTTTTATAAGTCAATTTTTCATATTTGACAGCATAAAAGAATTTTGGGCGAATCAAAAAATTGTAAAAATTTGATCTTATTGTTTTTTAAAATCGTTTATTTCAACATTAAGTTAAAGTATCCATGTTTTTTATTTATCATTACTTAAAAATCGATACGATTTTTTTTTTTGTATTAAACCAATTATTCAGTTTTGTTAAACATTTTACGAATAAATTTTCAAATTCACTCATGTACTTAAATGCATTCGAACTTATCCACTTATCAAAAAAATGCTTTTCTTTTGATGGATGAATAGTGTGAAGCTTAACAATGACATATTAATTATTTACAAGTTTGAATATTTTTGTGAATGTTAAGTTGTCTGATCCTATACTATCAAGCCTATTTCATTGAAGTGTTATAAAAGTAACTTTTGAAGTGTCAAAACGTCAATGTTCAAAGTACAAAACAGCGAAATTTACATATAAAAGGCAAATGAAATTAGTTGTTTTTTTAATGAAAAGTAAAATAAAATTATTCTGCTAATCAAAAATTTCAAGGAACAATTCAAAAGTAACGAAAGCCGCCTAAAACAAAATTGAAAAGGACGGTTTTGTGGTACAAAGCTGTGGTTTTAAACATGTATTTTATAGCATTCATATTTTTGTTACTTATTTCTTAGCGATCTATGGATTGGTATTTAATAAATGAGGATATTAAAATTTAAAACGAAATTATCATTCAACTTTTGGTTCTAATATATTTCTTGTCAATATTTGACTGTTCATACTCTTAATGTCATCAGCGACATCTAACATAAAAACTCAAATTTTATTTAATTTCTTGTTTTGACGTTGCGTGTTCAAAAAGGAAAATATACCCAATTAACAAATCAAAATGACATTCCATTAAATTGCCGATTCTGTGTTTTCTGGTTTGTTCTACCTTTCTAAAGTCTACGTTCGGCGTTTTAAAACCACATGGATTGTATGGGAATTGAAAATTTTTAATATTTCATTGTAAAATACAAAAAAGCGATGTTAAAATATTGAAAAAAATTTAACAATAAGTGTTTTCATAAATTGAGAAAAAAAACTTTATAAAAACAATCAATAAATTAGTGGAAAAATTTTATAAAAAAAAAATTGTTCTACAAGAGCTCTCCATAATAGATTTTTCTGTAGTGTTGTGTGTGATTTTGACACATTTGATTTTACGCATTTTAAAAAAAAAGTGGATTTTACATAATTTCGGAAAATTTAAAAATTAATCACTAATATTTAAATTATAACATTTATAAGTTTATTTGATATTGATTTTTGATTTATCCAGTTGGAGGAGTTAATACGTACATACATACTTTTTTGTAACCTTTCAAAAATTCTGTTTAGGGAAGAAAATACTACTTTATTTTGATATGATCTTTGATTGTATGTGCGAGGATTAAAAAGCCAACAAGAAAAAAAAAATCAAGAAAACGTTTGAAGTGGTGGTAGTGTGTTGACATTTTTATTTACGTTCTTTGATTAAAAATATATATATAAAAAAAAAACTATTTTGGGTATAGAATTCTTTAAAATATTTGAAATTTTGTGTTTTCGATTTTAAAAATTTTTTGTTTGAAATATTTAGTTGTATCATAAAATATTTTTTACTAATCATTTATTGTTAATAATTAAAATGAAAACCTAAATGAAGTAATGTACGCAAATATAATGTAATTGAAACGTTTTCGACGAGTAATTGTCATTAATATAATAAATATATAAATTATCTAGTCGTACGGCTTTACAATTTTGGATTTAATAACAAATTCAAAAAATTTTGAATTTCGTCAGGAATTGCATTTGTTTTGATTTGTCATACTTTATCTGCGTTTTAATTGGACACCAGAAAAGTTAAATCAAAATAGTAATGTCAAGTACCATGACTAATGAAACATCCAAAACAACGGCAGATGCTGAAAATAAGGAAAAAGTTTCAGCAACTACCGTAACAGAAACGCCGACAAATAATTCTTATGCTACTGTTGCATCAAATATTGAAAAGACTACTGAATCTACAATTCAATTGAATGCAATATCTGATAAAAAGGAGTCTGCATCAGTTATTGATATTGATAATAAAGAAAATATTGGTAACAAAGACAAAATCGATATAATTGAAACAAAGAATGTATCAAAACCAAAACCAATAAAATCATGGCGTGAAGAATGCAATAAAACGTTGGCCGGTAGTATTGGAGCAGCTAGTATAAGTAGCGAAAAACGTTCTTTTAAAGATTCTGAAATTGATGATAATAATGATTTTGTTCCTGTGGTTTCACATAATCGTAGAGATCGTAAAATGCGTCGTAAAGAACGTAATGGACCCGAACGCCCATGGGCAACTGGTGGTGTTGGTTCTCATAATAAAAAGAGTAGTGGAGGTCTTCAACGAGTTGCTAATAGTGGAGCAACTACACAAAATGGTAATCCATCATCATCTGACGAACGTGGTAATAGTGTAGGAAGAAAAGGTCCTTCAAGAAGACAGCGAGATAAACGATCAAAATTGAATAAACAAAATAAAGACTCGATCAATAATAATGCCATTAATAACGATAATAATAAGGATATTAAAGATAATAATCAAACAACTGAAGCAAATGGAGGTGGATCAAGTGGAAGCGGAGGTGAAGGAAAATCGGAAGAGCAAGCAAAAAAATTTATTGCTGCTCCACCACCAAAAGTGAATGCGTGGAAGGTAAGTAGTATTTTTTTTTTTAAATTAAAATACAAAAAAATCAAAAATTAGCTCGGTAAATAGGTAGCTAGTTATTTAAGCTCCTACTAAATTTAGAATAAAAACAGTTGATAATTTTCAAAAACGAATATGATTAGATATAACTTACTTACCTATACAGATTGGTTTAATTAACAATTTTGATTTACTAAGTATGTATACTTAAATAATTTTTATAATTTTTGGAATACATATAAATGTAGTAGATAAGATAGGTCAGGTAGCTTATACATGACTACTGTTTTCGAATAAAATTATTTGATCTTAATCTTATTCTACATTTTCAGCTATTTTTCCTAGACTGTAAGATTACGTCAATATATTTCATCGTACTAAAGTATTTTTTCTATAATTTTATTGCAAATATTTTTGTTCTATCATTTATCTCTCACATATTACTAGTATTTTTACTTACTGGAAGAATTTTGTTATTAGTCAGAAGAAATTTTATTAAAAATGCTTTATTTACTTTAAGTGGGTACTTTTACACATTTAATATTTATTATACTGGTGGGTATCTTCCTATTTCAATGTAAAAATTTCTAATTGAAAATTTTTTGTACAAAATTTGCAAATAATTAGCGAATTTTTTTTCATTAGAATTTTACTTAAACATTAAAAAGAAAAATTGAAAAATATTATGCAATTGTTTACGTTGTTTACGTATCTGTTTAAGTATGAGTTTGTATTTTTTTTTTGCGTTTTTATTGTTCTTATTATCTGCGAAATTCATGATCTTTTCTTGAGAGAATTTTCATCTTTCTGAATCTGAGATCAGACAATTTTCAATACTCATAATGACAGATCTTGTGCCATTAATCTGAAATAATATTAGTTTTACTTTATAATTATTGTGTAGGAAATCAGTAGAAAAATAGCAAGGAAGGTAAATTTTTTTTTGGTTTTAAACTGATGTTTTTTTTGCTTTTTAACATTGATAAATTAATTATTTTTATAGAAATTTTTTTAATATTTTAGAATACATAGGTACATACTAGCTTTATTTTCCATTTTTTTGTTTTTATAGTCTAATTTTTTGTTAACGTGCGGGTGAGCGAAATGTAATGCTTAATTATACTTACATTCATCTGATATAATAATTATTATTTTTTTGTGTTTCTGCTCATAAATTTAGTAGTAAAACGATAGGTAATAAAAAAAAATCACAATTTACTTAATTGAAGTGAACCGAAATGGTGTTTAAATTTTAGAGCTTTGGTTGCAAGTACTAAAAGTCTGTTCGCTTTAATCAATTGGTTTTAATATGGTTTTCATCAAATGTGCATGACTGTGCACTTATAAATTTTTACGTGAACTTTTTGCGATCAATATAAAATTTTCAATATTTCTCGATAATCAAATAAGGTGATTAAAAAAACTATTATCTCAACTCACTATCAAAATAAAAATTTATGATCAAATTTAAGTTCCATACTTATGTTGAATATCTTCCATTAATTTTTATATTTTCTGTATATTTCCAAAATTATTATTTTTTTCAAATTATGTTCAACCTTTTACATTCAAACAAGTCAAAATAATATTGAATGTGAAAAAGCAACCACTTAAAGTAAACAAAGAATTTGTAATAAAATTTCTTCTGTAACTAATTAAACGCACTACTTATCTAAAACTTTTAACATTTTCTTTAAAAATACTTGCAGGGATGTTAGGCAATATTACCTAATTGCTGTTTTTCATAAAGCCCTCTATTCAGCTAATATGACAGATATACTTTTTGACAGAATTTTTTTATTTACAATATGAATAGAATTAGATAAAAAAATTTATATAAAATTTTGTAAATAAATATCTATTTTTAATTAAGTAAGTATGCGAATAAGAATGTCTATAAATTTATTCCATCTTTTATTCGAACCCCTTGAAAAGTTGTAATATTTTCTAAAGATTTATTTTTCATTCTCTTGTGTCTGAAAAGCTTTTTCTTGAATATTTTTCTGTTTTTATTCTTTCCTTTTATTATTTTGCCATTCCAATACTTATTTATTTATATATTATGTATATGTCCGTATAAACATAAATTATAGATACAAGTATACCTACCTGTATATTTTATTCAACTATTTTATTATAATAAAATATTTTTTTGTAAGCAAATATCAATGAAATGAAAAATATCTTTATAGCATTTATCTCTCGTATTTAGACAGAAAAAGACTTAAGTTTATTTCTTCTTATTATTTTTTCGCTTTTATTTCCGAAAAATAAAAAAAAAATATCAAAGTATAAAATATACTTAAATTGCCAACATATGTTTTGCTGTTTTATTATTGTGACACTGTGGCAGTCTGACTGTTCTTCTGCGCCGTCGATTTAAATAAATAAATAAAAAAAAACGGATATGTAAAATAAATGCTGATGAAGTAATTAAATAACAAGAAAAAGCAAAAAAAACTGAAACTGAAAATGTGTTAGAAAATAATTTGTTCTTAGTATTTTATTTTTTTAATAAAAACTAACTAATAGTGTGTTTAAAAAGAAATTATAATTTTATACATACTTACTTATACCTATATACAAAAGAATTATATAAATAAAAATTATAAGACAATTAAAATAAGAAAATCAATAATAAAAGTACAGTTTTGGTGACTTTAGCTGAAGCCAAAGTTAATTTAATCGGAGTAAAGTAAACAACAACAATGGTATGTGTATAGAAAGCAAAGTAGGAACCTACCTTTTTATATTTTGGTATTTTCACAGTAAATATATAAGAACTTTTTCTGGAACAATATTTTCCTGTCTTGTCAACAAGATTCAACTAATTTCTAATATTTTGTGTATAAAATTATGATGTTTTAGTCTTCGATTCAATACCTCACAATGAATATCTCAGTTAACAGTGTTAAAATAAACTTGAATTACGAATGATTGGATTAAGTTTTTAATTAAAAAATAAATATTATAAGAGCTTCTAGGTAGTGTAGTTGCATAAAATAGCTAGAATTTCTTTTATTGCTGTTTATATTATGTTAACAAATTCTTCTTAGGTTTTATTTATCTTAAAATAAGTATACCACTGCTGGTGTACTCAAAATCTAATTATTTTTTTTTGGAATTAATTTTGATAACTCAATTTCAAATAATTTGCAGCCCTCGAATTAAACTTAATAATTATATTAGATAGACATATTTAAAGAAAGAAACCAAAATTTTATTATATTTATAAAATAAATAAGTATGTGGATACCTACATACTTTCAAGAATGTTGAATTTAAGGTGTATTTGCTCAATGTTGCAATTTGTAATTTTACATTTTATTCAATAATTTTTATGTCGTAAGCAAACGCATTATTTTTACATGTTATATACGAAACGTTTATTGACCTCAAATATCCGGTATTTTATATTAAACCCAAGTATGTGTTTTTACTAAGTAAAACATTAGTTACTTAATTGTTATTACTTACTAAGTAAACAAAAATATTCAATTTGATTTTTATGATTTTATTATTTTGTAATATCAAAAAATTTGAAGGCGGTAAATAACATATGTATAAGTATATATATAAGTCAATATATAAGTATATTTATATATAAATATGCACTGTGTATATATAAATATTTTGAAGTAGAGAAAAGAGACTTATTAAATATGTACTTACTTAAATACAAAATTTATTAATTATAAGTGTCCATACTTAAATATAAGTGTTTAGAAAATTTCATTACATTATTTAAAAAAAAAAAACAATAACGTTTTACATTTATTTATATTTTATTTATAATTTTCGCTTTTTAGAATTATAAATATATTAATTACTTATACTTAAGTACAAATACCTATTTAATTGTTATACATTTAAAATACCTTTCATAAGTACACGTGCTTATAAATTTGGTATCGATCAAGTTTTAATAAAAAAAAAAATCGATTAAGTATAAAGGTTAAAATGAATAAGTATGCAAATTAACTTGAAATATTGCTCAATAATTATGTAATAAGTTTATTGTGAAAGATATTTAAAATGAAAAATGATTAATTATTATTCAGTAAATAAGTACTTTATTTATTTTCGTGCTATGAAAATTACGGGGTAAATATTATACACAAATAATTTATATCTTTACAATAATATTTTTCTTAAAAAATATTCGATTGTATTGCATGTTTTCGAAATTCTAAAAATATTCCTCCTTGTTAATTTGATAAAATCCTAAAAGATAAAAGTTAAAGCTACAAAGAATTTAAATTTCAAATAAAGCTGTGAAATACAATTTGAACGGCTTTCCCCTTGTAACCACAGAAATATATTTTATAACTAAGGTAACATATTATGAAAGTAGCAAAAAATTTTGTTTTATTAATTTTTAAATTATATTTTATACAATTTTATCATTCATTTTTGCAATAAAATAACAAAGAAAACAGCAAAAAAAAAACAAGTTAAACACGCTAACAAGTTTTTGTTAGTTCTGAGTGATGGGTGAATTTACAAAAAAAAATTTTTTTTTTTGCTAAAAAATTAAAAATTCTGATAATATTATTATAATTTTTGTTTTAATTTTTTTTATTTTCTCCAATTAACTGAGCCGGATTTCAATCTTTGTATAATTTATGGGGAGATTTATAATGTTAATTTCGTTTTGAAGATTCAAGATATACTTAATTTTATTATTTTTATATTAATACGTAGATGTATATATGTATAAGTCGATATAAGTATTCATATATACATAAGTATAATGTAATTGTATCAGTGGGCACGTTATGTAACATCAAATTTAATAAAGGGTAAACAGGTTAATATTATAATTTAAAAATTTCAAAATATAAAAAATTTTTTAAACTAGATATTTTATTCCATTTGAGTGATTATTCGTTTAAGAAGAAAATAAAAAGAATAAATATTTACGAGAAAACTAAATACTTAAATAGTATAAAAAGTTTTTTTTTAATAAAATTGTTCATAATGGTTTTAAAGATCGATTCGAAATC